AAAATGTATAACTCGATTAATTATATAGGAACATATTTTCTCTCAATCAATACATGCAATATTCATTGTGACATTTACATAAACACCTTACATGCAAAACTCATTGTGATATTTTCACAAACACCTTACATGCAAAAACCACATGCCACACAAAACACAACATAATACAACATTATCAACACTAAATCAACACTATCAACACTATCAACAAAACCATATATATCAACATTATCAAATATATCAAAAATCATACCTAGAGGAGAAGAGAATCTTGGTTGTGAATGGAAGAAAGAATGAAACGGTCTTGAATGGAAGAAGGATGAGAACCTTGAAGAAAGGATGTAACGATTTTGTCAAGAATCAAACAAAAATAACTCGTGAAAAAGGGTTTTATTCGTAACTGTGTTGTTGTGTGAAAATGAGTTTTGACAAAATAATAACATTGCTGTAATAGAAATGTTGGGCGCGTGTTTTATTTTTTTTTATAACATGACTTTAGGCAACACTTTGAGAAAGTGCTGCTTAAGCCCACCCTTAGCCAGCGCTTGTAGTAGAAAGCGTTGCTTAATCCTCCACTTTAGGCAGCACTTCAATAAAGCGCTGCTTAATTCCCCCATTTAGGCAGCGCTTTAACAAAGCGCTTTGTAAGCCCACCCTTTAGGCAACGCTTCTCCAAAGCGCTACAGTACTTACCCCTTTAGCAGCGCTTTATAAATTCACATTAACCCCCTTTAAGCGGCGCTTTCACAAAGTGCTTCTTAAGCCCACCCTTTGGACAACGCTTCTAAAAAACGCTTTGTAAGTCCACCCTTTAGGCAGCGCTTCAGTACCTACCCCCCTTTAACAGCGCTTTATCAAACCATATTCACCCTCTTAGACAGTACATTTTTAGAAAGCGCTGTCTAAAGTATACGACCAAATTTCCGTGTTTTTAAAATACACTTTTAACAGCGCTTTTGATAAGAAACACTGTCTTAGATGTGCTGTTTAATCTTATTTTTGGCATAGTGACTTAAACAAAAAAAACTTCTATAACAATTTTTTATCTCAATATCAAACCTTTATGCAGACCATAACAAGAACACTATATTCATCTTTTGCTTTATTTACTCGACATTAAAAATTACGAGCTATCGATGTAACTGCAGATGGTTCAAAATATCTAATTTAATTTTCATTTGTCCTTTTCAATCGCACATTAGATTATGTATTAGTCAAAGTATACAAAAGAGATCACATCATCCAATTTTTTTAATAAAAAATAATAGAGCTAATCTTAAAGCAATGGTAAGTCTTGTACGTGCATGAAACTCATGGAATGAGGTAAATTCAACTTCTTCTTCGATAGATTGTATTACATGAGAAAATCATATTTGAAGAAAAAAGCATCTAGCATGTTGCTATTGTTTCTCATAGTTAAATATAATTTATTATTTTTCTATAAAAGATAGTTATACTTTTGCATGAGTTAATATAATGGATTTTGTCAACTCACTAAATTCAAATATAAGGAATATGTGTTGATTATTTGTTGATCATGCTTTAAGAATGAATAGTCCATGTGTTTTATGACAGCAATAAAAAAAATTCTCATTGTTTTAGTTTGAGTAAAATATAGAGATTGAAATTATTATTTATTTGTCTTTTTTGTTTATGTTTTGTAAGAGGAGGTTGAAAAAATGATGTATTTATTGCTATTTGTTAAATGATTTGTTGGATTTCTTAGATGTTTGTCAGGAATTTGGTTGGATATCTCATTAGTGTGTTTGTCTTAATTTTGTAATAGGTTGTGACAGTGTTCCCATGGTCTGTCTTTTTCTCTTATAATTTTAGGATATATGGGCAATCATGTTGTCATGTTCATTGAATTGCTTACGAGATATATATATATATATATATATATATATATATATATATATATATATATATATATATATATATATATATATATATATATAATTATTAGGTCGATAAGTTTCCCACCGATATAAGTTGAACTAAACTAATATTTGTCTTTAATATAATATTAAATTATTTTTCCTATTAGTAAAACACCAAATAAAAATTATTGTATTCAAAATTAGAAAAAATATTACTTTTTTCAGTTTCATAATTTGTTGTGATTGATCATTTCACATAAATTAAAAATAATATAAATAAAAAAGAGAATAATAATTTTATTAATTTATTCTGATTAATTATATTCAAATTATCGTTAATGTTAAATGAAAAAATAATAAATTAAAAATATATATATTAGAAGTTATAATTGAAATATTAAATATAAAATTGCTTTGATAATAAAAAATAACAAATATTTTGACACAATTTTTTATTATTTTAAATTTAACACTTTTTTAAGACGGAAATATATATATATATATATATATATATATATATATATATATATATATATATATATATATATATATATATATATATATATATATATATATATATATATATATATATATATATATATATATATATATATATATATATATATATAATTTAATATTTATCAAGTTAGTTATACATAATATAATTTTGAATGGAAGAATGAGACAAAGTAAACAAAATTGAAAACTGATGGCAGAAAAATTATGAACATTATAGTTTCCATATTTAGAGGATTTTTTCAGAATTTTAGCTTTTATTGTTTATTCAATTTAGGAATATATTTATAGAAATGGCGCCTTGGGACATTTTAGCTAATTATTCATTTATTAATAAGATTATCTTGATTAGCAAATTTTATAAAAAAAAATTAATATAAAATATGTTTTAGCTCATTAAATATTTTTTAGAGTAAGTATTCATGTAAAAACAATTTCAAAGTCATTCAATTCTAATTTAACATAATATTTCAATTTAAGATTTATATTATATAAATAATATTATACTTTAATTATAATTTTAATTATTAATCAATAAACAAAAAGTAATGTAAATTAATATATTTAAAAGGAAAAAATTTAAGTGTATTTCTTTAGATGTGGTTTATGTTTTTTTTCTAATGAAAATATGACGAATGTATAATTTTCTCTTACATATATGTAATTTCTTCTTATTTTTACTCCTTAAAAAATATTTAAGTATATTTATCATATTTTATTATAGAAAAATATGAACTACATCTATGAAATTGTATCTAAGTATTCTTCTATTTAAAATACTTAAACGGTCAGTAAATTTATAAATTAATCTAAATACAAAATATATAATATTAACAATAAAAAAAACAAAAAATATTAGTAATATTAACTTAAATATATTGGTGCCTAGCAAATTTTTCTTTATTCCTATAGCATTATATTTTTAAGTTAAATAAATTCTAAAAAAAAATCTATCATTTTTAAACAATTTACTTTTTATTTTTATTTTTTAAGCACTCTTATTATTGTTTTTTTAGAGCTCCATTATAAATTAATTAGTTTATCATGTAATCAGTATTGAGTCTCTAAATTAATAAATGCACATATTTATTTTGCATTTTTATGATAGAATGGCATGACTATTAAAACATGAATTTATCGAGTAAATTTCATATACTATTATCAAATTCATATAATATACTATTCATAAATATATTTATAAATAAAAATAAATTACAAATATTTTATTAATAAGAATAAATTCAACCGTTGATATCAATCATTTTATAAACAGAAATAAGTTACAAATATGTTTATAAACGGAAAATATTTAAGTGTTGATACAATTATTTTTATAAATAAGAATAAATTACAAATATTTTTATTAACGAGAAAAAATCAACGGTTGATACAATTATTTTCATAAACCGAAATAAGTAACATATATTTTTTAAATGGACACATGGATTCTAAAACTTGTCCCGTCCTGTAAAATTATGGGTGCAGGACGGAGCAGACACGCGGACATTGCATATTTGTAATAATATTACGTGACTCATACAAACGCACAAATAAATAATCAATTTTATATGTGTGTGAAGTGTATTACACCATAACTCATATTTTTTCACATAATTTCTATGTGAGAAATTAAGTTGTCACCCTTACATTATACATGACACCCCCCAAATGTTATGAAAAGACCAAATTGTCCAAACCCAAATCATTCACCACAGATTCTAAATTCACCTTACCAATCACAATTTTCAATTTTTTGGACGATACCGGAAATTTCGCGAACATGTGAGAATTTAGGGTAGATTTGTGAAATTTCTGATATTTTATACCAGAAATTTCAAAATATCCGATATTTTCGTACCAGAAATTTCAAAATATCAAGTACTTTTGTTTATCATTTATACCGAAAATTTTAAAAAATTTCTGATTCGTCACATAATACCGAAAATTTTAAAACTTCCGGTAATTCAAATTTTTTTACTACCATGTTTTATTACTACCAAAATTTTTAATTAATTTAAAATTTATGATATACCAAAATTTTTAAATATATTATCAAAAACTTACGGTACTAAAATTTTTATAAAAATATACCCAAAATTTCAATTATTTTACCAAAAATTTTATTCGAAAATTGTGTTAAGCTCATCTATGAATAAAAGTGAAATAAAAAAAATTGAAGGTGACATGTATTATCTTGGGGATGATATATTAAATTCTCTTTATATATCTATCCTAACAACTATTACGATTTGATAAATTAAATTAATATTTATTTCATAATTTTTATTTAAATTTTTTTTCTTATTTTATATATTTTTATATAAATTTTTAATCATATTTATATCAATTTTTGCGCTTTCATGCATCCTTTAGTTAAATGAATAAAATTAAGCGCTGTAAATTTTAATGAGAGGAGTATTACAATATAAAACGCAACAATCCTTAATTTCCTTAGTAGTCGGTGCCTTATCCACCCGATTTACGTCTTTGGAATACAAAGCACCGATGATCTGATTTTCGCGTTAGTTGAATCTTCTGCTTCTCTTCTTCTCTCGGAGCACTGATATATAAACATTCACAGATCCCTGAGATTCTGCTACGGCAATGGCTCAGCAACTCGCGAAGAAGGACGATGACCGCGACGATGAAGGTTCACTTCTCTTCTTACCATTTCTCAATTCGACCTGTTTTCTATCATTTTATGGCTTAGCATTTGCGATTTTAACGGTTGTTTATCCGATTCGGTTCCAGATCCATGTTCCATTTCAAATTTTCAATGTAGTAGTAGGATTCGCCTAGTGGTTACATCATCATTATCATGTTTGGATTGGATTTAGTGTTGTTCAATTTGATTCGATCCGTTATTGATCTTGCTTCCTAATTCGCAATGTAGATCATTGAATGAATGAGTTTCCAGTGATGAGTTGATAGTTTAGATCTCATGGACACCTGAAACATGACACTGACTCTGACACGGCTAATGATTTGAAATAATGAATGAATTAAACGAAATCACGTGTGTCTGTGTCGGTTTCGACACGGAGACATATTTTTCCAGAGATGTCGGTGCTATAGTGTTGCTAATTGTGTTTTTTATTGATGGCCAGCCGAATACTCGCCTTTTACGGGAATTGAAAAGGGGGCGGTTCTTCAGGAGGCAAGGGTTTTTAATGATCCACAACTAGATGCTAGGAGATGTTCACAGGTTTTTATCATGGACTTGAGGATTTCTTCGTTCTCTTAATTTTTAGGTATATTATTCCGGCAGTTGAATTTTGATGCTGTGTATGTTTTGCCATTTCTTTTTTCTAGGTTATTACAAAGCTCCTATACCTACTGAATCAGGGAGAGACATTTACAAAGGTTTTGAGAGATTTACAAATCTTCATGCATTTTTGTGGTTTGACATTGTGGAACTATGTTAGAGTCACTATTGATCCTTTTTATTTTTGCTAGACGGAAGCCACAGAAGTTTTCTTTGCTGTGACTAAGCTTTTCCAGTCTAGAGATATGGGATTAAGGAGAATGGTCTACCTGATGATAAAGGAGATCTCTCCCTCTGCAGATGAGGTTACATTTTCTTATGCAAAAATTTCTTGTTTTTTAGATTTATATGTATGGGGTTTAATCTGTGTATTACAAACTTAGATTATATGACTGTTCTATTTCTTTGATATCGTAAAGGTTATTATTGTCACAAGCTCTCTTATGAAGGACATGAATAGCAAGATTGATATGTATAAGGCAAATGCCATTCGAGTGCTTTGTCGTATTACAGACGGAACCCTTCTTACCCAAATTGAGCGGTATATAAAACAAGCAATTGTAGATAAGAATCCAGTTGTTGCAAGTGCTGCCTTAGTTAGTGGCATTCATCTACTCCAGGTAATACCAGTTTCTATTTGTCATTCCGTATATTTTGTACATCCCATGTATGGTATATGCTTATTTGTGCCCCCTCTTTGCAGACGAATCCTGAAATTGTAAAAAGGTGGAGTAATGAGGTTCAGGAAGCTGTTCAATCGAGAGCAGCTCTTGTACAGTTTCATGCACTGGGTTTGCTACACCAGGTATGCTGCATGTTTGGTTTTGTTACTTTGTGATTCTAGATCATTCAGTAAATTATGGTTCGGTTGCTGGCTTATATCTTTGTATTTCAACTACACTTTCTTGAATGCTCACCGTACTTCTTGTCTTATCGTAGCTAAATATCGTGAATGATAAATGTTCAGCACAAGCTAGTCATGATTCTATTATTACAACTTGTCATTTAAGTGCATTTCTTTAAGGAGTTCATAGTTTCTATTTCAGCTTAGTTGGATGCCAAATTTGAGTAAAACAAGAAAAATCAAAACTTCTTGAAATTCTATTGCAGAAGTTGTTATTTGTTTGTCTGGTACTATGGTATTATGCTCTCTTTAATGGCAGTTACTATCTCTCCATCCACTCAGCCACAAACGGCCCACAATCAAGGAACTAGAGGAGGCTGAGTAAGATCTATATGTAGGCGGAACAGAATCCAATAGACACTCATTTTCTTAGACTTGCAAACATTAAGGGCTCGTTTGATTCAATTTCAATTTTTTGTTTTCAAAAACTGTTTTATAAATTAGTTTTAAGAATTCTTTTCAGGATGAAAACAAAATAAAAATCTATTTAGAAGTTGTATTTTGTAAAACTGTTTTTGAAATAATAAAAGAAAAAATTTGTTTGGTTGATTTGTTTTTTAAAACTAATTAAAATATTGTTTGATATCTACTTTTAGAAATAGTGTGATTATAACTAAATGATTAAAAAACTGTTTATATTAAATAGTAATTAGAAAGAAAGTTATAAAATCATTTCTATCATTTTTATCATAAAATACTCCTTGCAAGTTAATTTTATTTCGATCTTATCATTTTAATAATGTTTTTGTTAGTTTTAATTTTTTTAAGGAATAAAATTTCCTAATTATTATTTTACAATTGTTTAAGATTAAATCATATTAAGTGATGTCAAAATCTAGCAAGGAGTATTTTACGATAAATTAAAATTCACTTGTTGAGTTCCCCTGTGCAAATAATTCCATATGCATATAAACAGACCAAAAAACATTTTCTTACAAATTCATATTCAACGTATCAATTTAATTACGATCATGCCATTAATGAAAATTTACAATTTTCCACGAGTTTTCAATTTTGGGTTTTGGAAACTTAAAAGCAAAGCAGCTTTCACAAGTTTTGGTTTTTTTAGTTTTCATAACTAAAAAACAAAAACAGTTTTCAAAACCACTTCTTTAAAAATTATTATCAAATGAGTTTTTAGTTTTTTAATTTTCAAAAAGTAAAAAACTGTTTTTGAAAAGGAAATCACACAGGCTCTAAGACTTTTGTGTAATCCTGTACAGTCTTTTCTCTTGTATTCAAATGTTATCACTCGGAGCATAGTCTCACATTCTTAGTGCAATAGCAATAGCATTAGAGAGAGAGGGAGAGAGAGAATTAATGCAGCACCAATTGTAGAAAATATGCTTGAATCTCGACTTAGGTAGTTTGAGCACCTGTGGAGGAGACCTATAGATTCCATAGGAAGGAGAGTAGATGAAATGGAGGACAGCCTAAACGTTAGATGTAGAGGAAGGCTAGAATTTGTTTTTAGAAGAAACTGTTAAGAATGATGATATCTCTATTGTTGAAGTTGGCAAATTTTTTATCTCTTACCTGCATTGATTGTCATCGCTGCAGGTTTTGGCACCATCAAAATCTATACATGTCTTATGTAATTATCATGTGGAATTCCAGTTTTTAACACTTGGTTTTGTTAACTAACTTCTATGTTAAAAAGCCCGTCTATAAAAGTTTTACTGTACATCATTTAGATTGTACATTCTGAAAGGCCTACTTTTTTTAATCACACAGAATGTAAGTATAAATTCTTAAGAGATTTTGTGATATTTGGTGATTTCAAAATTGCAGATACGACAGAATGATCGGCTAGCTGTTAGCAAGCTGGTTACCAGCTTGACAAGGGGAACTGTTCGCTCACCTTTAGCCCAGTGCCTGTTGATTCGTTACACAAGTCAGGTGTGTTTTACTTCATAGGATCTTGTTGTTGGGATGCTATTTATTTGCTTAATGTTTATCTTCTACTATATTTGTAGGTTATCCGCGAATCAGGAAATAATACAGAGTCAGGGGACCGCCCCTTCTATGATTATCTTGAGAGTTGCCTTCGTCACAAATCAGAGATGGTGATTTTTGAAGCTGCCAGGGCTATTACAGAGCTCAATGGTGTAACGAGCCGAGAATTAACTCCAGCAATTACCGTTCTTCAGTTATTCTTAAGTTCTTCTAAGCCAGTTTTAAGATTTGCTGCTGTCCGCACCTTGAACAAGGTAAGCCTTTGTCAACCACTCAAACTTTAGCAGAAGTGGTTTTTAACAGGTCTCACAAGCCTCCTCCAAATATAATTAAGTATTTTGATTTTCCTTCAATGATCTGGACAGTTGATATAAAATCAAGATTTTCTGGGTTCTTAAATTTTCTCATGATATTTGCATTGGCTAAACTTGAGCCTTATTATTTATTCTGAGTCCAGCTATGAAACTTTGCAGGTGGCAATGATACACCCAACATCAGTTACTAACTGCAACATTGACATGGAAAGTTTAATCTCTGACCAGAACAGAAGCATTGCCACTCTTGCTATTACTACACTTTTGAAGACAGGAAATGAATCAAGTGTGGACCGTCTTATGAAGCAGATTACAAATTTCATGTCTGATATAGCCGATGAGTTCAAAATTGTTATTGTTGAAGCAATAAGATCATTGTGCCAGAAGTTCCCGTTAAAATATAGATCTCTGTATGTGAGCTGTATAAATTTTTTATATAATCTTTTTTCCCTTAATGAGTGGTATAAATTATTTGTTTGTGCTCTGCTTTTCAGGATGAACTTCCTGAGTAACATTCTTAGGGAAGAGGGTGGTTTTGAGTACAAAAAGGCAATTGTAGACTCAATTGTGATTCTCATTAGAGAAATCCCTGATGCAAAGGAAACTGGGTTGCTTCATCTTTGTGAGTTCATTGAAGATTGCGAGTTCACTTATCTGTCTACACAGGTATTTCTTTTGGGGTCCTTCGTGATTCACAGTTTGTTCATTTTTCTTCTGGAATTGTGTACATTTTTCTGTTCACCAATTTGTTCCCCTTGAACCATAGATACTACACTTCCTAGGAATTGAAGGGCCAAAAACATCAGACCCCAGCAAATATATTCGTTTCGTTTATAATAGAGTACATCTTGAGAATGCAACAGTTAGGGCCGGTGCTTTGAGCACACTGGCAAAGTTTGGTGCTGCAGTTGATGCATTAAAGGTTCACTTTCTTTTGTTTATTATCACATTATTAGTGATTTTCTCTTTCTATTTATAATACTTTTGGGGAATATTTGGTGCTAACTTAATTTAAAATCTCATCCTCACTCTTTCAGCCGCGCATATTTGTTCTGCTAAGGCGATGCCTTTTTGACAGTGACGATGAGGTGAGTTTCTGTGTCCTTTTTTATGAGGCATTTTTTGAGATGCACTAGCTGTGTATTTAGTTGCACGCCATCTTCAAGATTTGTTGCTTAAATGTAATTAAATTTCCATTTTGAATTGCTTACTTCAAATCTTTCTATAATATAATATATACATGTTCATCTAGAAAACTAATTAATATTTACAATTTGAAAAATATGAATGACATCTCCCTTCTCACCCTCGCCCCCGAAAGAAGAGGATTTTCCATTTCTGGATGTGTGAAGTTGTCAACTGCTTTATTTTATGTTTGGTATTTTGATTTATTTGCAGGTCCGTGATAGAGCAACGCTATATCTAAACACACTTGGAGGTGATGGTTCTGTTGTTGAGACGGATAATGCTGTAAAGGACTTTCTGTTTGGGCCATTTGATATCCCACTTGCCAATCTGGAGACTAGTTTGAAAAATTATGTAAGTTTTGGTGTTTTTCTTGCATTCCATTAGTACAATATCTCATGTGTTTGATATGTTTACAGGAGCCTTCAGAAGAGGCTTTTGACATTGACTCAGTGCCCAAGGAAGTAAAATCTCAGCCACTTGCAGAGAAGAAAGCCGCTGGGAAAAAGCCAACTGGTTTGGGTGCTCCTCCAAGTGCTCCCTCTTCAACTGCTGATGCCTACCAGAGGATGCTTTCGTCTATTCCAGAGTTTGCTAACTTTGGCAGCCTGTTTAAGGTTTATACACTTGATTGTTCTTTCACAAATCTATATTTGTTTTTTGTTCCTTCAATGGCTAATATATATGATCTGATGTTACATTTCTTACCAGTCCTCAGCACCTGTGGAGCTCACTGAAGCAGAGACAGAATATGCAGTTAATGTCATTAAACACATTTTTGACAGGCATGTCGTGTTCCAGTACAACTGCACAAACACGATACCAGAGCAATTATTAGAGCATGTAATGACTTACCTAGATACATAAAATTTCATATAACAACCCAAAGCCAGGTCTTGTTTATAATTTTATATCTTTGTACAGGTTATTGTATTCGTGGATTCTTCAGAGGCAGATGAATTTTCAGAGGTGTTCTCCAAGCCTCTCAAGTCTCTTCCTTATGATTCACCAGGACAGATTTTTGTGGCATTTGAGAAGCCCGAGGGTGTGCCAGCACTTGGAAAATTTTCTAATGTTCTGAAATTTATTGTTAAAGAGGTACTTAATCCTCTTCACTTTTATGAAGCTTTTGGGTTTTTTACTATTTGATCCAGTCCCAATATGTATCATTATTAAGTGTATATTTCAACTGCGAGGATTGTTTTTATTTCCTACGTTTAGGGAATTTGTGGAAAACAACCTATAAAATATTTTGTAGAAAATCTCCACATAAATTGGATCTTCTTCAGGTTGACCCAACCACTGGTGAGGCTGAAGATGATGGTGTTGAAGATGAATATCAGTTGGAGGATCTGGAGATTGTTTCAGCAGATTACATGTTGAAAGTAGGGGTATCTAATTTCAGGAATGCATGGGAAAGCATGGGCCCTGATTTCGAACGGGTGGATGAGTACGGTCTTGGTCCTAGGGAGAACTTGGCTGAAGCTGTAAATACTGTCACCAACCTTCTTGGCTTGCAGCCCTGTGAGGTAAGCCAATGATGTTACCTGTTGCTTTTTTTTACTTAGTTGAGAAAAAATTATTTTGCATTATGTCTGTGTTTGTGTAAAGTGGTTGCACTAAGTTTTGAATCCATGGCCTCTTGTTAATCATCCAATGCCCTCACCAGTAACAACCTTATTTCATTAAACTGATTACAAACAAGTCAAGGTGATCATGCAATTTTTACAGTAACATATTTACTGTATTTGGACAATTATGCTTGTTAGATGCTTCCAACATACTAACATACTGCTTCATAAACGGTCCAGCTGGTTCAACCGTGAACTAGCGTTGGTCACAGAGCTTAAAACGGTAGTCTGCACAAACCGGAATAACCACTCAAACCGCTTTGAACCGAGAACTGGAACTAGTTTTGGTAAACCGTCTGGTGCAGAAAGAAATCTTAAAAGTATCTTAAAACACAATAAGTTAAACAAAGTAGAAAGCAAAAGGACTCTTATCACGGATGTGACTTACCCATAGATACATAGCATTATATTTTACAAATAATAGGAAAAAATAGAAAAGAAACAAAAGCAATAATAGCATTTTACTAAGCATTGAATATTAGATTTAGTCTTTTAAAAAATTAATATTATAACATTGCGAATTATCTATGAAGTTTGGTATTGTATTTATAATTTAGTTTATTTATTTGTTTATTATCCGGTTCAAGGGTCGTGTTTCAGTAACTTTAAGGCGGTAACTAGTTACGGTAACTTGCCTCTATCTCTCTCCTGTTTTCCCCTCTCTCATCTTATCTTCTATTTTTCATTTTCAATAAAAAACCAAAATTGTACTTAAAGTCATGGTGACTTTACCCGCCACAAAGTCACCTAATCTGATTCCGATGTTTTACTGGTTTATTCACTTGTTTGGTTTTTAAAACACTGTTTTATATCATGTTAGTATTACAGATTTGCTTTCCATGAAGGATTTAGTAGAGAGCATAAACCAAAAGGGGATTTTCTCATACACAGTTTTAGGTTTAATATTGTGAAAATATGCAAATGTAATTGGTGAATATCAATACTTTAACAGTTTAACAGAGTGTTTACTTCAAAAGAAGGGTAGGAATGGGGAATAACCCTCTCTTTGTTTGGTTTGTAAGAGGGGGGAAGGGGAATAAACTAATTTACTTAATACCTTTAAAATGGCATATATTTTTAAATGCCCTGTTCTACCAGTGTAACACCAAGAGTCTCTGACAGCAGTGCTTATTCTTCATTCCCACTTATATAAGAAGCAAACAAACAAATTGAAAAGTATAATAGCTTTCCAAAAAGAGATTACAGTAAGGTAATTTAAAAGTATATAGATAAGTTAATAACATTAAAATCATGTAGTCGGCCGGCATACCTGTTATTATCTTATTCTATCTGTATTGAACAAGTTTAAAAGTTGGTGAGGGTCAATTTGTTGTATCCGTTACACATTAGTTGTTAACATGTTTTAATCTTGTTGCTTGCTTGACAAATACATCACTCGGAAAAATTTACATGATAGCCAAGAGAATGGATACATGAACTTCAATAGCATGAACTCGAGAAAGGAATGAGAGGCTAGAAATATTATTAGTGTCTGCATGTTGGATATAACTATTTTTTTCAATAAAAGGTAACATAATACTCATATCAGTTGTCAGAGTTCTTCATGTTCCTACCCGCCCCAAAGAAAGAGATAAAGACAAGATTAGGGTATTGTGGCTCACTCAGGTGGTTTCAGCCAGTCGAATAGCACCAGAAACTTTGCTCAGTCGCAATATAAAGGAAATTGAAATCTTCACCTTTCATGTATAATCCTCATGCATGCCCTAAATATGGAAACAGCAGAATAGAAAAATGTCTACAAATTCTATCAAAAATAATCTGTTGACTTACGACCATCGTCATGCTTGCACTGTAGTGGAAAAATAATTTAACACATTGACAACTGGCTTACCTTGCCATTAAGTTGAAGGCTTGAAGCAATTCCCCATCCAACCCCTTCTGGGTTTTGAAATTAAAATCTGATAATGTTCCCAGCCTTTACAATCCGCAACCTGTTTGTAAAAAAAAGTGTAGTATACAAAAAATGAAATTCTCATAAAAGAAAACTAAGGCAGAGTGAAGAAAAAGTGTAACATGATATAGACACCAAGCTTGTAATCTTGCCGCGGAGTATGATATTTCTCTCCATGAGAACTTAATAAATTCTCAAATGAGAAAAGTCTGGTATCTTTTATTGATGTCTGCTTTCAGTTATACTGATATCTTCTGGAAGGTTGATATCTTATAATTTTTATTTATGGGCTGTGCAGGGTACCGAGGTTGTTCCACCCAATTCAAGATCACACACATGTTTGTTGTCGGGTGTATTCATAGGTAACATAAAGGTGCTTGTGCGGTTGTCTTTTGGACTTGATGGTCCAAAGGATGTTGCAATGAAATTGTCCGTCAGATCCGAGGATGAAACTGTCAGTGATGCCATTCATGAGATTGTAGCTAGCGGATAATCCATCAAGTAGATAAATTTTGACTCAAGATGGCCCCTCTTTTTGTAATGAGATTGGAGTTAAGCAGGCGCATAGGTATAGATGTGTGTAAAGAATTACAAAACTTTATTATATTTGGGACTGCATTTGTTTGTCTCTCACTGCATTCTTGATAGAATAGCATCGATATTGGAAATATAATATTGGAGTACACTTATTTCCTCATGATTATGCTTCATTTTTCCCGGTAGTCAATGTAATATGAATTTTGAGGTGTGTTGTTGAATTGGATATTTGTTGACACAACAATTGTTTATTCAGTATAAAAGGCAAGTTTCTTCTTTGAAGCATCTTGAAATTTAGGTTTTTCTGTATGTCACAAGGATACTGTTTTGGATTAGGTTTGTATTTGGTCTAAATAGTATATAAGGCTTAATTCGACTGCGTTCCATGAGAAAGTCTGCTGATGGAGTCCGTCCTCGACTAGGTCGGACAATAACATCACTCTTTTGGTCGACATAGCTTTGTCCTATGGGGATAACCTCATGAATGGCGAGGAGGGCCGAAGACGGTCAGGAGGACCTCGCGAGCATCCTTTACTATTCTTGTCGACTAACACAAGTCCTTCGGGGACAACCTCACAGTTGGAGGAGATGGTCCTCGACGGACAAAAGGACCACGTGAGCATCCTCTTTGTAGGGCTTACTCTCAACACCTCCGAATATCCCAGAGTCCTCTTGGTCTCGAAAAGATTGCATCCATATCCTCCCGATAGTTCGGAGGAGTCCATCCAGGTTGGGGACTACGTGCTGGCCTCCACTACGCACGTAGGACCTGACAATCTCCATTCTGAGTCTGCTTGCCCAGCCCAATGATGGGGATCTTCACCCAGTGCTGGGGCTATAAATACCCTCTCACTTGAAAGGGTTAGGTATTCAATCTCTCATTCTTACTCTCACACTTGCTTGCATAAGCTCTGAACTTCATTTTGGCATCAGAGTGTCTTACAGGTACCCCCCACTTCACATCCAACCGCTGCTCGGCTCGAAGCTTGTGGACATTGACAATTCCTTCTAGTCAGGTATGATCAATGGCGCCGTATGTGGGAAAACATCTTCCCCGTCTTCTTCTCAAGATCAAAGTAACTTTTCATCAAACTGTACGATTTTCATGACTGACCAAGCTGTCAACGATAACTGAAACGCTCACCTCGTCGACCCCAGCAACAACAACGTCAGCGACAACAACAATGGCGACAACGACATCAAGATGTCCGGTCTTGAGCGAAACTACAGAGACAGACTGTCCGCCTCTTCATCATCTTGTTCTCAACCGCATGAGGACGACCATCGTCCTCCCCAGAACTACGAATCAAATGTATTTCAGGAGGTCCCCGTTCCAGCTGGTGCAGATGCCACGACCAGAGCTCTGTTCGCGGCCATCAATCAAACCAACTGCCCGATCTTCTCACAGGGTGAGCGGTTGAGAGTGCTCGAACAGACTCGCCGCCCCCCAAAAGGCACAAAAGACATGACACTCCTCCTCCCCGACACAACGAAGACTTTCCCCAATCTCCCCCGCAGAGATGCAGACAGGATCTATCACGCAACCCTTCTCTACGACGAGCTGGCCGATGTCATGCGATGGAGAGGAGCCAACTCAAAGCCACAGGAAAACACGGTCACACCCCACCGCGCAGGGAGCAACGATCCTCTGGAAACAACAAAAACAAGGGAAACGAAGAAGGACATCCTCGGCCAAGAGATCCTCCCTGCGGCCAAGGCCATCACAATGACCTCCACTATAACCGATCTCCTTTCTTCTCTCCAGACAGAAGTGACGAAGATGATCCCCGCGGTCCATTATCCCAAGCAATCATGGAGGCTCCCATTTCTAGGGGAATGGAGAAGCCTCCCCTACTAAAGGAGTACGACGACATTGCAGACTCTGTCGACCATATCAACGGGTTTGAAGAATGATCCATTACCATAATGTCGGGGGGGACAATCAAATGTCGATTGTTCCTCACGACTCTGAGAAAAACAACCACGGACTGGTACAAGAACCTCACCCCAGGATCGATCACCTTCGGGAGGAACCTCAAGAACTAGTTCATCATCTCCTTCACCGCGTCTTGTCGACATCCGAAGACTGAGGCCGCCCTTGAGGCAATCGTCCAAAGAAGCGACTAGACCCTCAGAATATATTGATCGATTCAACCGTGAGGCCATTCAAGTCCGTGCATTGATCACATGAAAAGGTACCTGCTCGAGAGAGGATTCCTCCCGGGAACTGAATTCAGAAAGGCCATCGACATTGAGCTCCCCCGATCTTTCGACGCTCTCCTCGAAAAAGCCAGGGCATACATAGACTACGAGGAGAAAGAAGCAGCTCATAAAGCCCGCGAATCGAGAAATCACGGACCAACTAACATCCCACATCACCAGGACGCAGATCTTTCTCGATGGACTGGAGAGAAGAGAAGGGAGGAGAAACTGCGTGATTCCCGCGAGCATAGAGGACTGGCAGGACGGTTCACAGAGTACACCTCGATGACCGCTTCCCGCGAGCGCATCCTTGCGGAATGCTCTAATATCGAGTTCAAGGCCGGCGATGTCAGACGTCTTTGATCCGCTCCTATAAAGCCCAAGGTTGACAAAATGAAATACTGTCAGTATCATCGGAGTCAAGGGCACTTGACAGAGGACTGCGTCCACCTCAAGGACGCCATTGAGTCCCTTATCAAGGGTGGAAGACTCAGGAAGTATCGACACAACAATACCCCTCGCTGAGACACCCGCGAGGTAAAAGAAGTCGAGGAAGAAACCCGACCGTCTGATGAATCGGGCCCCATCCAAGTGGCTTTCTCTATGACAAGGCCGAAGGACTTCCAAGTTTTCGATAGCTACGAAGATGAACCCTTGTCCACACACAGCAGATAAGAGAAATTCCCCTCCGCCATGGTCATATCTGGAGGGGGATTCAACGACATCTCAGTGAACTCGCCGAAGAAGAAGCTTGATGAGTTGGTGGATGCAGCCCCGACCCAAGCGGCAACGCTCGAGAGGTTCAAAGGAAAATTTAAGCCAATCACTTTTTACCTGGAGGAGCTGCTCGACAGAGCCCTGAAATCGAGCATCCCTCTGCTAGTGAGGGAAGGGATGGCTAAATTCGACGTGCATCGTATTCTGGTCGACGAGGGAAGTTCTGTCGACGTCATGCACTGCCACCTGTTCTGAATCCTGCAACTCGACGATATTCACCTGTCACCATACGTGGGGTTAGACCTGCAAGGATTCAACGACTCGACCTCCAAGCCGTGGGGCGACGTTGAGCTTTTTGTCACCTTCGGAGAAGATAATGCCTGTCGATAGATCAAGGTGCGATTTCTGGTGATCGACTGTCCATCTCTCTACAACTGCATCTTGGGAGACCGACACTGGCCGAGCTAACCGTCGTACCCTCCATCGTCCATTTGAAAATGAAGTTCTACACCAGAAGGGGACGCGTCACCACCATCCACGAAGACATCTCAGTTTCCAAGAGATGTTTTCACGCGACTTCCAAAGGGCAGAGCATGGTCGACACTAGAGCGTGACCCTCCAAAAGAGAAACCACTACTCGACCTGAATCGCATCCTGCTCGAACCGAAGAACAAAGGGCTCCACCAAAGGTCGACTCCATCTCGCTCGACACCCGCTTTGACAAAGATAAAGTCGAAGACCCCAACAGAGAACATGATCTTCTTCGACCCATTTGAGACGGAGACTTCGAGTTTATCCCCCTCGACGAAGACCCTCATAAAGGCGTGAAGATCGGCACTAAACTTCCCGACTTGGTGAGGAAGCAACTCAAAGCTTGCTTAAGGGAGAACGCGAACCTGTTCGCATGAAGTGCTGCAGATATGCCTAGACTCGACCCCGAGGTCACCTGTCATCGACTTGCTGTTGATCCAGCCGCCAGGGCAGTAGTGCAACATAGGCGTAGGCAGTCCCCCCGAGAAAGCGGAGCTGCTGAAAAAGCTATAAAAGACCTCCTAGAGGTAAATTTTATTTCTGAGGCCCAGTGTTCAATCTGGCTCTCAAACTTTGTACTGGTCAAAAAGAATAATGGAAAATGGAGAATGTGTGTTGATTATACTGATCTTAATCGGGCATGTCCCAAATATGCTTTTCCTTTACCTAACATTGATATGCTGGTCGACAACTCGGCCGACTACAAAATTCTATCGTTTATGGATGCCTACTCGGGCTATAACCAAATTCCTATGGCGATGAGCGACAAGTATTGTACCACTTTTGTGACCGACTCAGGAAACTACTTCTACAACATAATTCCATTCGGCCTAAAAAACGCAGAGGCAACGTACCAGCGGATGATGAACAAAGTCTTCCGCAATGAGCTCAGAGACATGCTCGAGGTATATATGGACGACATGATCATCAAATATCGAACAAAAACCGACCATGCTACCCATATCAAAAGAGTTTTCGCTCAAGCGAGACAGTGCAAAATGAGATTCAATCTGGAGAAGTGCACCTTCGGGGTTAAGGCGGGCAAATTCCTCAGTTTCTATCTGACCGAACGAGGGATTAAAGCCAACCTCGACAAGTGTCGAGCATTCTCTAAACTTCACACGCCTAGATCGAAGAAATCCATACAAGTCCTAAACGGTATGCTCACCTCGCTTTCTAGTTTCATGGCGAAATCCGTGCAACACAGACTACCATTTTTCAAACTTCTGCGCAAAGAAGCGACTTTCGAGTGGACCAAGGAATGCTAGCAAGCCCTCCTTCACCTCAAGGAAAGCCTGTCACAACTGTCCGTGTTGTCGCGGAAAGAGAACATGAAAACTTTATTCTTTTACCTGGCCGTCTCCGCCGAGGCTGTAAGCGCGACCCTCATTCGCGAGACTCCAGACGGACAGAAACCAGTATATTTTATGAGCAAAGAGTTACAAGGGCCCAAGGTTAGGTATCAACATATTGAAAAGTAGCCTTATCCTTCATCAACGCGGAAAG